GGGATAAGTTACATAAATTCAAAAGTCGCAATTAGTTCATTCATCATAACTGGGATTTAGAAATCTCCGAGATACAAATGATAGCTTTTATTATACAAACTATGTTGGCAATCAAATTTAAACTAATTTGGACAAGTATTAACCTTTTTGTGGGGAGACGCAGTAGTGACACTTCATCAGTTGAGGTGGTTGGGACATGTTTAGCGTATGCCCAACCACCGACTGCCTCGTCGAGCTTTGTTTTGTAGTGTAGGAATAGGTTGGAAGAAAGCTAGGGGCGGCCAAAACATGGCAGAAATCCATGAAGTCATTGACGAGTGGACTTAGCCATGTTGGTAATTATTGACTACCTGGTTGGGGTCCGCGAGATGATAATAATCGATGGTTAGAGACCTTGAATGACATGGCTCAAAATCGTTCGCAATGGCGCCAGTGCATTTATGCTTTGTGTTCTCTCAAATCCTAATCTTCTGGGTTCTTCAACAACTCTAGTTTTGACTTTCTAAACTTTTCTCATTAAATCATACTTCTTGAATAATATCTTCTAATCCTAACCTCTCCGATTACTCCTAATACCTTTACTACCTCTTCTACTATTGAATTCGAATTTACAATTACATCTCCGTGCTAATGTGGTATGGCGACATGAACTGATGTACTTACGTACGAAGTTCTACGTTGCATCTGACTGACTGGGGAGAAAATAATAAGTCAAACTGATGGTTAGCTGCTATGTCGTTCGGTCCGTAAAATTCAAACTTGATGGGTCCAATCACTCAGTTCTCAACTTACTAGACATGATGACTGTACAAATTAATTCCGATTAAATTTATGAGCAGCTTTTTCAAAATGTATATTGGTATCTATTTGTAGTTATAACTAAGTTAAATCTTTGTTTACTTCTGGATATTTTCCAGTCCCATAGAGTTGTCGGCGAAACTGTAAGTTCTCGGTCACATTTAGTTAGTCACTTATCCGCACAGTAGGATCTAACACATACATTGTTTTCTTCTGATGTGATACTGTTATCAAATGCTGTCCAAATGTTTCACATGGTTCAACTCAGTTATAAATTTCAATAAACCGTGAACGACAATTGTCAATCAATCAATAGCAGCGTAAAACTACGTACGTACGTACATCAGTACATCATTAGCACAGAGATGTAATTGTCAATTCAAATTCAATAGTAGTAGAGGTAGTAAATGTATTAGCAGTAGTCGCAGAGGTTAGGATTAGAAGATATTATTCAAGAAGTAGAATCTAGTGAAATAGACTCAAAAAGATAAGGATAAAGTGATGAAGAGTTAAAAAGTTTAGGATTTGAGAGAACGCAAAAAGTGAATGCACCTGCGCCATAGCAAACGATTTTGAGCCATGTCATTCAGGGTCTCTAACCATCGATTGTTATTATCTCGCGGACCCCAACCAGGTAGTCGATACCTACCGACATGACTCAGTCCACTTGTTAATGACTTCATCGATTTCTGCCATGTTTTAGTTTGGCCGCCCTTAGCTTTCGTCCGACCTATTCCTATATCGCAAAATATAGCTCGACGAGGCGTTCGGTGGTTAGGCATACGCAACACATGTCCCAACCACCTCAACTGATGAAGTTTCAATATTTCATCCATTGATCTGACATTCTTACCTAGCATCCGTTTCCTAAGACCAGCGTTGCTCACTCGGTTGTCCCAGGATATACGAACAATGCTTCGAAGACACCTATGATTGAAAACCAGTAACCTAGGAATATCACATTACCAGACCGGAGATCAGTTAGTTGCAATGTGCAGAATAATGAGGAGAAAATTCTAATGCTAATAAGAGGATTTCATAACTAAGTAAGTAAGTGGATAATTAGTTTTTTAATTGGTAGTGAAGATTGTGAGAGAGGACCGAAGTGTGAGCAAGGGAGAGAAGCCAGAGATAATAGGGGAGATAGATTAAGTTAGTGATCTGGGGGGACGGTAACAATAATAACTAGCAATTCTCAGGCACAGCCTGTCAACGAAGGAGACGACGATTCGTCTGTGAGTACGTGATTAACAAGTCTCTTCTTGAAGCTGTCTACTGAGGGGTCTGTGGTCACCCTGGCTGCCAGTGTATTCCAAGTTGCGACGACTGTTACTGCGAAAAAGTGCACGAACCTGAGTATTCGCTCTTTGATTTGCAATTTTTCGAGGATTGCCTCGAGGAGAGTGGTGATGACGCATCGGTAAGGTGCTCACGTTGGGACGGTTTGGCGTGCTTAATATGCTGTACGCTATAGTCAGATCAACCCTGATTCTCCTGTAACTCAGGGAGAATGGTCCCAAATGCTGGAGTCTATCTTCGTAAGTTTTGTTCGTCAATTCTATCGCCCATTTTGTTGCTCGGTTCTGCACTCGATCCAGGCGACTTATGTCTCCTTTAATGATTGGGGGTTCAACGACATTGTGAACCTCCAGGTGTGGGCGTGCATATGTCTCAAACAACGTTAAGAATAATGGTGGGGTGATAGCGCCCAAGTTTATCTATCGCATAGTTGATAGAGTTGCATTTAGCCTTGGCTGCGTCCCCTATATAGTTCTAGCTCGGTGGTGGGAGGCTTTCGATGGTTGACTTTGCACCGAAGATCGTGCTATGAGAAGACATTAGGGAGTCGGACATCTGTGTAGATGGTGTAAATCGTTTGACGCCGTGTACATGACGGTTGTATTTCGACTGATCTAGGTCTTTAACCGTATTTTACTGCCCACAGGTCGTCAAGAGTATGTAAGGTTACCTTTCACATACTTATTAGTTTTCGATTATCGTTGACATGACTTACAATGTAGACTAAAGGTGATTTAAGCAGAAAATATTGCTGATAGAAATTCTAACTTACGGCCAACAAACATCAACATTATTAGTATGTTGTATTGAGTGTCCAATAGTTTATAATATTGTCTAACTTGACCCTATGATTTGCCATTGGCACTAGTCAATAAACCCAACTAAATTTTCTCTATTTTCGTAAGCATACTTCCCATTAAACTGCAACCACGAGCGTGTATCACAAATCAAAAACATCAAATTTCATTGTACGAGAATAGTAGCAATGATAATGACTATAAGTTCTCACCGTAAAGGCTGTGTTTTCCACATTCCATCCAAATAGGAATTGGTTGATGCTCGGTATCGCTTTCGTCACTGGAATTACGGACCGTTGAAAGAACCATATCTTCGCTTGGGATTTTGTGTGTATCGAAAGGAATACCGAAATCGCTGCCTAGAAAATGGCGGCGAAATTACAGAGAAATTAGAGCAAAAATGGTCAGCAACACAACGAAAAGTTTTCGCTCACATAGTGCCTTATAAACAGCAGAGGTTCGAGTTTAAATACAATCACTTGTAACAACGGCGGTAT